TTGTATTCACCTGCCTAGTGCCTGCTACGTATGTCTATTAATCTACCTTGCAGTCATGTAATCATTATATGTCTGCAAATTAGATCAATAAACATGCATAGCAGGCAGGTGACACATCTGACCTGCTGCAGATAACTTCCCATGATAAGAACATGCCAGTGACAGTCAGAAGGATCAGACGGCTGGTTCCCTGGTACAGCCCTATGTTTACATACACATAGAATGGGGGAATATGGAAGGGCAGGGACAGTGGTGAACACTTGAATTAGGATGTTGTAGCCACATGCTGCATGCATCTACATCTCCAGGACATATTGATTAAACCATGGCATATGTGGGCGCTGTAGAATCCTATACCTATGTAGTGTTGGGTATATGTCATATATTGTAGTTTGCCAGTCACACATGCTGCTGGCCTTTGCAACAGGATGGCACTGAGCTGCCACAGACAGAGGGGATATGGACTCCTGACAGTCCAACATTCATCTCATTCTAAGGACAGCATGAGAGTGAACACACACTGCCAGCTTTATGGCCGATAGAGGGGGAGAAGGTCGGGGTTGCAGTTAGGGGAGTTCTTGAAGCGGGCCACTGTTCAGTGGCTGAGAACCACTTCTGTAGAGCACAAGCACCAGGAGCATGTTAGCATTGGAAAGACTGCCATTTCTTAAAAAGGATGCCACAAAATTGTAACTTACATATTATACTTGCATACCCTGGAATCGAATGGTCATACTGTTAGGGCAGCGCATTCATTTTGAATGGGCTGCCAATACATGCAGCAAACAAAAAAAGAATCCCTGCTCAATTTTTTCAAAGCAGCACACTATAATACGTGCCTTGTGCATCATAATGTGCTGCAAATCTGGTTCTTTGTCACCAACTGTTCTTGTGCATTGGGATGCTATTATAAATAAATGGCGGAAATGGCCATTACTGTTAGACATAAGTGTGAAGCCAGCCTTAATGTAAACCTACAACCTCGAACATTTAGTAAGTAGTAGTGATTACGCAGAGCTTGTATAGGACTGAGCACATAAATGACTAATTTGTAATGCTACATTGAGCAAAACTATAATGCACTATAATAATTATTTTCATATAATGACAGTAGTCATGTCCAAGATCTCATGGCGCAGATACTGAAAATGTAACTGCAGCCACCCTTTAGTCAAAGGCAGTAGCAGGATAGGACATTATCTTAACTAAAACAAGACCAAGCAAGACACCTATTAAGGAAAGTATATTTTCATGCGTTACTGGAGAAAAGGTGTTTATTTCTTTCATGGCCATAAACAAGCAAAAATTTGCTTGTAAAAAACTCAGTTAAGTAAAATGGTTTCAATCCCATTTAAAATATACTGTATGTATAAAGTTATAAATTTGTGTACCCTTTTTTTTTACAGTACTAAAATATTCTGGTTTCCAAGGTATCACTAAATAGATTTGTAGATAATTATTTTCAGTTGTGGAAACCGACACAAATATCTTCTATGCTAATGCAACAAATGCTATGAGTCATTTATTATAAATTGTTTTCTATATATGTGATATAATCCACATATGGGAAAAACTGTTTGCACAGTTTTGAAATATGCAACTAGTGATTACAGATTACAAGTAAAATAAGCATGTCCCAATGTATCTGTATATACATGAAAAAACTCACATGTTTAGCATGCAAGACTGAATGCTACAACAGTTTATATCCTTTCTGTCTGAAAGGCTACTCAGTGTAAACATTACCGATAGCATTCTCTATATTGGCAGGTTCACAAATAGACGTAAATAAATATTAAACCCCTGTATAGACAAGACCCGACATGACACAAAATGGGCACTTGGAACACCCCAGCCATGAATGAAACCCATCAAGGTTACAAACAAGTCATCAGTCAGGCTAGAGATGTAGAGTAATCTGGATCATGTTCATATGATTCTGGTCTGATATAAGGCTGCAGTTTCAGTCTTTTGATGTGGCACTAACCAAATAAGACATACGATAGCACATACTTTCACCATTTTCTGTGATTAACAGTATAAAAACAAACCTGCGCTGATGAGAAGTGCCATAAAATAAGTTGAAGTAGAACTGTAGCCATTTAAGATTTGATGTACAGTGTGCACTAGGGCCGACATTGCATAAATCTCGGTGGATTATCCATACAAATACAGAAATAATTGTATTCCATACAGGAAGTTCAGGTTACATTAATGCCCAGGTGGTCACTATAACAGGAAGTAAAAGGAATCCTTCCTAACAGGGAAACAAATAGCAATAAAAAAATCTTGACAGAGGATGTAACCATATTTTTTTTTTAAGCCAAGGAAAAATTATGACATACACTGCCAGCACCTGGCATATGTCAGAAATGCTGTGTTGATCTATCTCAACCCCATGAGGAGAGACTAGGGTGCTAATCTAGGATTCACGGCACTATCAAACCATATTCAGTTTTCTTACAAGGAGCTCTGTTTAAAATGACATGTGTGCTTGTCATTACCAGATAAAGGGCATGAAGTATGATCACATTAATAGAAAATAAAAAAAATAAAAAATATTTGCCCATCTTAACCCTTTTGTGACCAGAGGTAATTGATGTTTAGATACACAGACTAAAACTTGCTCAACAGTTCACCAGAGAACTTTGACCAATTTGCTTAATTTTTATGTACAGTTAATAAACATCCTGCTAAGTATTCTTTTGTAGGCTCAGAAATACAAAAATATCAACATAAAAAAGTTGTTGTTTTTTAATACTGGAATTGTATGTTACCATTACAGTAATAAAAAGAGGCACAGTGCAATATGTACCATCTTCTTGTGGCCTCGAAAAAGAGCTGTATTAGGGGAACGCACTAATTCCTTCTTTAAGGCTTTGCATACAAGATCTTAGCGTGTGCTTGTGTTTCTTCCATACTTGGTTCTATTTACAGCTGGGAACCAGAAGAGAGCTAGGACGTCTTGTAGAGTTTATAAAATAGCATAACCAAGAGTTTTAAATTAATTCCAGATGCAAGTCAGAAAAACAGTACTGACTTAAGAAGCCAGTGAACACAAACATGCCTACATATTGTGGAGAACAACTAACCCTTCCTTCTGCAGTAACTCCTTACAGAGAGCTTACTGTCAGATCCATTAGGAAAGGATCAACGCCACCAGTTGATACTTCTGACCAAATCAGAGGGTATTAAGAAGGCATGAAGCCTGAAAACATGTATTCAGTTATCGAATATCATGCATCAATACAATATATATATTTATTATAAAAAGGGATAACCCTAGATACGCTGTATGGCCAAAGGTTTGTGGACAAAGGACCATCACACCTGCTTATATGATCAAATGTCTATAGGCACTAAATGGAGTTCAGTTGTTTCCAGGGAGGGGTAGTGTTAAAGCTAGAACATACAAAACATTTTAGACAATTGTGTGCTTTCAGCCTTGTGGCAACAGTTTGGGGAAGGCCTTTCTGTTGTAGCACGATTATTCTCCTGTGCACAGCCAGGTCTGTAAGACATTGCTAGATGAGTTTTCTAGGAGGAACTTGCAAAGCCCTGACCTCAACCCTACTGAAGACCTTTGGGATGAATTGTACCTGTACTGCCCTCCATCAGTGCCCAACCTCACAAATGTGGTTTAGAGTGAATGGGCACAAATTCCCACAGACACTCTTTTTGGAAAGCATTTTCAAAACAGTGGAAGCTGTTATAGCCTTGGACAAGGGGGTTGTATTAAATACTCCATATTCATACCAATGATTTTGGAATGGGATAACAAACAAGCGCATAAAAAAAAGGTGTGATGGTCTGGTGTCCATCCTTTGGCCATATAGTGTAATTAGCGATGCAGCAGACTACGTTGTACATAGTAATGGAGAGATGGTTCAGAAGATGCTAAATAATGAATGTTTTTGACAGTTTAAACAAAAACACTTGATTCCGATTTCCACTAATCCCTTTGTGTGGCCAGCTTTAAAAAGTCCAACTTTTGTATCAAACTTTCTGACTTTACTCTAGGTTTGGATCTATTCTACTAAAAATACAAAAAGGCCCTGCTGACATTTTTTTATTCATTCCAAAACAGGTTTTTAATGATACCTATGTAACTACATAACAGGATAAGTATAAATGTGATTGGTGTTTTATTTAATAGATGCAACGAAGGGAAACAGTATGTTAAACAGACAACAGATGGGTATAGTTTTGTGTTATGAATAAACCTTCTCACCATGTGTTGGTATACAACCACATAGTATATCAGTGTATACTTGATATAACATGAAATCTGTGTGCTTTTTTTAAGAAGCCTATTTTTATTTAGCTAAATGAAAGCCTGCGATGTATAATGAAATCTAGATGATGACTTGAAAAATGAACAAAAAACAGTAATGCTGGCTACTTTTCATATCAAACAGTAACAGTTTTGTAGAACTTTCTTGCCTATACATTCATTTTAAAATTGTCTATACGTTCATTTTAAATTGCCTGCATATTGTAGGAAGACCTTTTCAGCAAGTTTTGTGACCTCTAAGAAAAGACTCGGTTTCCCAGCGGCACCTTTGGACTGGATGTGAATTGTGCAATTTATTAGTGATGTGTTCAGTCTTGACTATATTGCTCTGAATCCTATAGCATCTAAGCCATCCTAAAAAGAAATAGAATTAGTTCTAGTGGGAACAATAAGAAAATATAATGGGCTTCTTTTATCAGACAAAGCTAATGTGTGGTGTTAGAAGAAACCAGACTATATTTTTTCCTGTGCAGGTTTTAAAATAAAAGGAAGACTCTGGATGGGAAACAGACACTTCAACTTTCAGACATAGTGTTGAACAAACCCAAGCTGGAGCATGAAAATACAAAACCTGCTTTACTCATCGTTATGCAGCAAAGCAAAATAAGTGTCAGGAACTGGTGTTAGGCCATGTCATTTTATGGGAACAGAGCTCCTTTGGTGCCTCAATTAACGTGCGTGTGGTTTTACTGAATAAGACATAAAATGACGGCCAGTATAACAGTGTTGACAACATTCAAGTTTTGATGTCATTGTATAGAAATATGGACGAATACATTCTGGAAACAGCTAAATAAATACAATTTACAAGCACATGAATTCACAACAAACATTTCATTGTGTTTCTTTTGCCAAACCTGATGGACTTAAACAATACAGTAACCGAGATAAAGCTTTGGTAGGTCACATTAACTGTACACCAAGCAAAGATATGCACAACAGAGATCCACAGGACTAACAGAACGATTGTTGATGTTTGTTTCCTACATGGAATATCCACCTTTAATGGTTCATCTCCTCACAGCCGTCACTTAAAGAAATCCATTTATGCAACTTTAAGGCAACATATGAATGTAAGCATGCCGAAAAGTGGTTCAAATAAACAGTCTACAAAGCAATGTAGTAATAAAGAAATAAATCCACTTAAAAGGCATTTTCTAGTCCCTATAGGAAGTTTGTTCACACAGGCATGGGTGTTCATCTTGACAAGATAACCCGTTCTAGAGCACATAGTATGTGGTCCCAGTTTTTACAAAAAATTGCAAATAGTGTCACTGCAAAAAAAGTGCAAAAGATGTGGAAACGGCTCCTCATCATTGGTGCTGTGAACTTTGCGATAGTTGACACACAAACCAGAACAACAGTGATTAAGGCCACAAGTATGTTTATACATTTGCCCAAGAGTACTTTGGCATTCACAGATTCAGACTGCACAGCTAACTGTTCTTGCTGGTGCAGCTCCAGTTTGGAGACACGCGTCTGGCAGGATTCCAAAGCTTCCTGTTAAAGAGAATGAAAATAAAAATGCAGTTAATATAAACCAGATTAGCATGTTATCTTTATGCTACATCTATGCTGCAGATGCTGAAGTAGGCTATGGACACTAGACACATGTGAAATTGGGAAAATCACCACAAACACAGCCAAGCACTTGTTCTTAAGCCAGTATGGCACTATGACTTATCGCTCATTTACATCTTTGTGGTGTGTCGCATTAAAAGGGCAATGTCACCTTTTTAGAAAAAAAGAACAAATGCACACTTCATAAAAAGAAAAAAATGCTCAATTATTATTATTTGCATAGGAGCCAGTAAAGCAGCACAGTAAGTCGAGGGTACAATGCTCTGGCTTCTGCAGACCCTTCCCCCTGTCCATGTCTGTACCAAGCTACGGACATTCAGTGACATAGATGGGAGCAAGAGTGAAAATACTACAAGTGCATTGAGGTGAGGAAAAATCTTCCAATGGGGACAAACATTTTGGTGACAACTAAGATTACAAATTCTCCTCGCTATGGGGAGATTTTTCTCTCCCTGTCTTTTGCATCTCCAAGACAAGTAGTTAGGGCAAACATCCCCAGCAAGACAGAGACAAAAGGGAAGTTATTTAACTATTTTCCCAAACACAGGGTACAATGTGGTGGGTACTGGCTCTTTCAAAAGCCTGGCAGATGTCTCCCTGCTAGCTGTTCCCCACTCATCTGTGGTCAGCCATATGAAAATCAGGCCTTAAAAAATCAACTAAAATAATGTATCGGGGGTAGGCAAACTTGGCACTCCAGCTGTGTTATATTATAGGACTTGTGGTTTTAATTGAGTAAAAGGCCCCCCCACCTAAGGGTCTTGGGGAAAAAGCTGAGCTCAGTTCTTCACTTTCAGTATGGTTTACTTCATACTACAACATAGCTTTCTAATGTATGGAGTCCATGTGCTAAAGTACTCATAGGTTTATATTAAACTAGGAAAATACTGGGGGCTTCTGTCACATGGACTATTTAAATGTAGCATATAATAAATCGATTCCTAAAAAGGTGAGGTTACTTATAGTGAAAACCTTGCTTTTCTGCACCATTATTGGTCCTTGTGGCTGCCCATCACACTAAAGAACCAACAGGAAGCACTGGAAGGAGGTAGGCATGTGTGTATGTATCCAACGTCTTTATTAATTAAAAGGAGAACTATGGGGGTCAGTGTTTTTCCCCATAGTTCTCCTTAGGGTAACTGGAGGACACAAACTAGCGTCCTCCCGTTACCCTAAGCTCAGTATACCGCGAGCTACAGCTCGCGGTATACTGAGACGCCGGAGCGGATCCCGACGTAGATGACGGGATCCGCCCAGCTGCGTGAGTGACAGCTGGCTCTGCCTATCTAGAGGCAGAGCCAGAAGTACCCGCCCCCTCCCCCAGGCAGCGCTGGCAGATCGGAGCGGGGAGAGGGGAATCCAGCCCTCCCCCTGTCACGGCAGAGAGAGGTGAGGTGAGCGAACCTGGTTTGTGTTCGCTCACCTCCCGATCTACTGAGCCGACCTGTGACAGTCTCATTGTCACAGGTCGGCTAGAACTATGAGGTGAGTGGAAATCACTCATGTCATAGTTCTCCTTTAAGAGTGTGTGTGTGCGACTCAATCTGAATTCTGAGGGTTAACAAAATATTTTAGCTTACACAAATCCATGTTGCCGCCATCAGCCCACCTGCTATCGAGGTTTAGTTACAAGTTAGCATCCGACTGCCAATTACCTGTATATCCCTGGACCTTTCATAAGCCTGATAAGCAACCTTTTCTTCAATGCTCGCCAGATCCTGTTTTAAATTTGTGGTCTCGTGCTGGTGGAGGTCAGTCAGATCATTGAGCTGGTCTTCAAGTCTTTCATACCTATGAAAGATAAAATGGGAGGTCAAGAAAATGCTAGAATTCATGTTCCTTCGGATTAAGAATGTTATTTCCGAAGCTTATAATAAGATGTGGGCGACCAGTTGCACAGCTGAAGTATTACATTTCTTTCTAAACAAACTAGGTCATTGCTTCAGACAGGGCACTGCATGGATCCATTCCCAGACACTTATGGATCAAACACTGACTAGAATGTTCTACCTAAAATTCTTAACTCCTAAGAAAAATGTACACCAAGTAAGAAATCTTATCTACCCAATTATTTTTTCTCTTTAGTGGTTGACTCAAAATATGGTTCTGGCTGTTTTCAAAAACATGTTTACTCTGCATTTGGGAAATAAATCTCATAAAAATAGCTAATCCTGAACCGAAACACAGATTTGCCGCGCTACCACTTTTAGTTATAAAACCCTATAAGGGGAATTTATCAAAACTGGAGCAGCTGTGCATGGCGACCAAATCTTTTTCATTTTCAAACCTTAACTGAACAATTAAAGAAGCTGATTGGTTGCCATTGTTATTATTATATAGGATTTATATATATATCGCCAGTTTGCACAGCACTTGACGACTCCAGTTTTGTTTTCAATATTTCTTTATTGAAGTCAGGTTATGCAATAGACATATGGTATAAACAACTTACAGGTGAGGGAAACATCAACAGTCAGTAGTTCAAATGTCAGGGCTCCAGTTTTGATAAATTTCCCCCTCTATGTTTTTGCAAACAAACATTAAGGGTTCGTTCGCACCATAGGCAGTGCGTTCCGTTCTGAATCGGACCGGAACGCACTGCTTGCATTGCGGCCGGCTCACTTTTTTGCCGGGCTGGAGGGGGCGTGGCGGGCCATTGAAGTAAATGGCGCCGTAGCCACCCCCTGTGGCCGCAATGCGATCGCCCGCACGGGATCGCAGAGCACATTGTGCCTCCAGTGCCGTCTGATCTTTAACTCTTGCAGTGGGGCTACCCCTGTACTGCAAGGGTTAAGTGCTCGTTTTGGAGTCTCCTCCCCCCCGCTGTCTAAGATCCAGTAAATCATTGTTTTCTATACACTGTACAGGATATATGAGGATGCCGAAGGACATTCCATTGCTGCTGCATAGGAGGGTACAGGCTGGAGGCTGGCTGCACAGTGACCGCTCACCTCTCTCCCTTTCCACTGGCTGTGGAATGTCCCCTGACGTACATCCAATGCAAGTCAATGGATTTGTATTAAGCGTGAGGACATCAGCAGGGCTTAGACTGCCGGGCAGAGGAGGCTGCGGTGCCGCTGTAACAGCCAGGCATCAAGGATCGGATAAGTATATCTTTTTTTACTTTAGACCCTAGATCAAAATGAGCACGTAGCCCTTGCAGTGCAGGGGTAGACCCACTGCAAGGGTTAGATTGTAATTTGACCAAAGTTTGTCTTTAAAAAGGTTGACCAGTTCATTTGAAAGACTCTATACACTGGTACAAAGTAAATTCAGACTGTACGTCAACCCTGCAAACACAACCAAAAGGTCTTTTAATTATTAAAAAGGCAGAGTACATTTTTGCTGCATTGAACTTCTGTATACTGACCAGCATTCCCATGCAAGCTCTTGTTTAACATTACATCTATCTCAATACGCATATTCATTCAAGTAGGTATACGTTACATAAAACTTTTTGCATGCAAAATTTTTGCACTTAGCCATAAAAGCTTTGGACCATTACAGTTAAGCTAAACCATCTTCAGCTCTCCTGACCTGCATGTTCTACACTACGAACTTTTCTGACTACAGCGATGCACTGAATGTCCTGGAACCTGTCATGAAAAACTGATTAAGGAAAATCTGTCTTCATGGTTTAATACAGTTAGTTAAAAGAAGTGATGACTATGTTCAAACATTAATCATCTCTATGATGACTAGGATCGAAATAAATCATAATGCTTCTCTTTCATTCTCTGAACAAGCGTTTCATATAATGTTAAAACTATTGTTAGATTAGGAAAACTTTTATTAAAAAGAAAAAAATCGTAATAACATATTACAGTTTCAAAGACAGCAGGGAGATAAGATCCAATATTAGGTACTGACAACCATATATTGAAATGGAACTCCTGCCAATGTCTTTTTTTTTTTTGGAAAGTGAGCATGGTTACTTTTTTGCAATAGTCACCAGGACAAGTGTTTTTCTTTTTTTTTTTTTTTTTTGTGGGGTGAGGTGGTGGTGGTGTGGTGTGGTGGTGACAACATTTCCCTCTTTCCCCCCAGTTGGGATAGAGACTGTAAAACCTGACAGTTTCTTTTCCTCCCCCGGAGAACAATCCTTTAAAAGCTATGTTGTGTTAAGTGGTTAGGTTATTAAACTGTGTTCTTGCTGGGGAGATTCACATGCTCTTATCTGTCCATTGCCACTGGTACAAAATGTGATGGGAAAAATCAATATATCTTTCTAGCTGTGACTGCAGCAGGAGTCAGGAAAAAAAACAAAAACCTTTAATTTGGGAAACCTGTTCCAGTGATGAGTGTCTGAATTCTACTTGCACTTTGGAAAGATATTCTTCTCTTTCTTCCTGTTGGGGCTCTGTCGTTTCTTCAGTGCACATTAACTCCAAAGGCGAACAATAATTGAAAGCAAAATGAACAAGGAGCAATTGATAAAAGTGCAGAGAGAAGAGCCACTAGGGGTATGTTCTCAATCCCTAAGCAGCAACACACGGTAGAATGAAAAGACTAAAAGAATTTTCATCACCTGATTAACCATCATCTAGGCAAAGGATGATGCATATACAGTAAAAGAACACTTTTGTACTTGGATCATTACCAAACATGCAAAGATGAAGGAATTTACAACTACAAACTCAGACTACAGGATGAGATCAGTTAAGAAAAAAAAAAAAAAAAAAAAAAAAAAAAAAAAGGGGAGGGGGCAAGAGCCTTTTCCTGCCGACTTGCCTCCAGCCCACAGGACCAATCTGGCCTACTAAATGGCCTATCCATGGGGGAAGGGGTGTCCACACCCTAGTTGGAAAGCCAAGAGTGTACAGCTGGTAGCAAGCATCAGGTGTAGAAAAAGCTGACTCTCTAGAGCAGGAGTCTCAAACTCTATTCCTTTGGGGCCGCTTGCCAAATTTTATACTTCAAAATAAAATTTAACTATATCCACTTTGGTACTACAGACACCAATATACTCACAATAAGGCCCCATTCATATCAAAGTTTAGGTGCGATTAGAGATCCCTGCAACAGGAATTTGCATTTTTCTGCAACAGGAATCCTTAATCTGGTGTTTACAGGAGGCAGCCGTTACCCATTCAAGTTAATAATCAGGTGACCACTGCATGTAAACGCCTGTACATCGCATCGCATGTAATGGTATGCGATATGGTTACATGTGGTTAGAAAACACTCTCCCTGGATGCACAATCGATCTGTCCAGGGATAGCGATTGATTCCTAACCACATCTGCACTTCTGATGTTACCATTAAAGCAAAACCCCTCATTTATTTTATATTACAGAGAGTACAAAAGGGAGAAAATGGGTCTTTATATAGAATGTTCACTGTTAGACATTTCATTTTCTTTCTATAATGGAGAATGCATAAATGGCAGCTGTGGCAAAGACACCTTGCTGTTAAAATCCCAAGTGATACCAGAAGCCAGTGGTCAATCCGCCCAACAAACTCTACCTCTACATGGAATGTGGGTATATTAACCCTTTTAATGATGCAGGCTGTTCAAGCTATTTGCCCAAATGCTTCATCCAGTTGAACACGGATTATATCATGGTCCTTTGCTGCAAGTGTGACCAAATCCCCTAGAAAGCCTCAAAACAGCCCAATCCCTGACTGAAAGGACTAGTAATTTAGCTAAGCAGAAGCCAGAATCAGTAATTTTATCACATTTTTCATCATTTTGAAAATAGGACAGTGTTAATTAAAACTAGTTCCTCTGTGGTTGAATTTGGTTTCCATAATTAAAGACTGCTCTAATTATAATGCACTCTGAACTCAAGAATCAGACTGGGAAATTAAGATCCACAGATGTTACAATTTTAGGTCAAGTGTGCAGTGCGATAATAACCAAAGCACCATTGACATTAAGTACCAATAAATCTAAAAACTTAAAAGGTGTCCTAGATAAAATTCCATTCACAAGTAAAGCAGATAAATATTAGATAGGAGCTAGAACAATAAGATGTAAACATTTAAACACTCGCACACCCATATGTTTAGTAACCAGTGAAATATATTTTTTTGTACAACATTAACACATTGCTTTCTGAAGCTGCAGATCAAACATATGCCTGGACATTCTGCTATAGAATTTCCTGATACAAACTCATTCATCCCCAATGGTTGCTCACCATCAAATCTCAGAGGCAACAAAGCATCCACAAGCCATTCAGGTTTTGATGTTGGTATGTGGCATTTGTTTTCTCTAAACAAAAATGTGTGTAGTTTGACATTAACATCAGTTTTGGTCTGTTTCGATCTGTCTGGTCATGTATTTGCAGAACACATTGCTCCAGTAGTATTGTAGAAAACCCAGGAGAATTTGTTTTTTTATAAGATTGAGGAGAGTAGCTTTACATTCTTTGCAGGGCAATGATTTCCTTCCATGTCAATAATCGATTATAATCGATTATGTCGATTAGTTGTTGCAGCCCTAGCACAGATGTATCAAGTATTAAATAATCAGTGCATCTATTCTTTTTGCTACCTTCCCCTGACATAACATAATCCACCCTCCTCCTCTTCCACCAATCCATACTTACCTCAATCTGATGGCTGCCGTTCTGCTGTTTTCATACAGTATTGCAAGCGTTCATTGTCCTGGCTGTACCTCTGCAGTGGTGCCCTGTAGACTACTGCTTTCATGTTCTGAGGCCGGAGGCAGACTCCTAAAAACTTATGGGGCTATAATGGTGCAGCCAGGACAGTGATGACTTGCACGATGGATGTAAACAAAAGAGCAAAGCCGCAGCTGTCAGATCAAGGTATGTATGCATCTG